GTGCCGTCAGCACTGCCATCCGTACTGTGTCAGTGCTAAAAGGAGATGTGGAAGAGAATCCCCGCCCCTTTCTGCAGAAGTTACGCTGAAGCGCCGCGGGTCTCACTCTGGCAAAACGCTTGGCGCTGAGCGTGATGTTGTATGACAAAAACGTGTTGTTCGCGCGTTGGGTGTGAAGATGCCCCCACCCTGAAGCCACTGGTTCCAGCCCGCCAGGGTTCCAGCACCATGGAACTGCTTGCATCTGTCCAGGCGGCGGCGTGTCCATTCTCGTCCGTGAGGGGCTGCGGGCGGGAGCAGGACCGGCCCTTGTCGCCGGCATCGAGCTTGCGCAAGCGACCAGCCACCCAGAGACAAGAATAAAACTGACGGTGTCGTCGGCGTATCTCCTTCCCTCCTCTGCCAAGAGTATGAAGGTGGAGGAGTCGGATGGGCAGCTCTGCGAGGACGGGCCACAACTAATAGGGCAAAGACACCAACGCACACAGTGAGGCTTGGGAACGCAGCATCCCATCAGGCTCCCGTGGCGATATCTTTGCGCAGCGGTGCATTGAGAATGTACCCCAGTTCATAAACGCCGGAGAGCGCACGAGGTACACCGAACAACAGGGCAGTTTAACATCCGACATCGCCCTACCTGAAGACTGTGTCGTCGCCCACTGGGGAGCACAGCCCTCACCGGACAGTGATCCCTGCATGACCCTCCTTGATGCTCTGATCGGAGACGACGCACCCGCAGTGGTTCCGAGGCCTAACCGGAAATAATTAACATGGAAGAAAACGGATTGGAATAAGTAAAGCGGGAATACCAAACAATTCGACAGAATCCCGCAAGAATTAAACAAAATGAACGGCACAGAGAAGCACATTGCATCCGGAATACAGAAATCCACCAAGGCAACTGTCCAGGCAGGAAACCGCCAGTCGTCCCCCACTCTGGACCCCAGAGCTGGCGGAGCCGGACTGCGACATCGCCGCCGCACCCCATGCAGAACGCAGTCAGCGGCTCAAACTCCGTCACAGAGAAGTGCTGCGCGAAGTACCCAAAAGCCGCTGGCGCACGCTCCTCTCCAAACTCGAGTCCGCGGACGGTAACAGCCGGCAGATAGTACGCCGTGCGTATGCCACTCGCTCCCTGAGCATGCCAGCCATGAAAGCAGATGGCCCAATGCTCAGCAGACACCGGAACGTCGGCCACACAAAGCCGTGGGCGGCAAAAGCAACACGGCACCCAAATTCCTGCCCGCCGCCACCGATCCTGACGAATGCGAGAAACTTCAGCCCAATGAACATGGCAGAGCTGAACCGAATCCTACGACTGTTGCCCTTCGGACCGGCGCCTGTCGCCGACAGAATGAATGGAAAGTCGCTGCGCCATCTACGCCGTGTAGCGAAGCGTGCTGTCCCCGGTTGTTCAATATACGCCTACGTATAGAAGCCGGCCGGCGGAATTGGCGACTTGGATTCATGACACCCTTCCCACCATTCTGGGGAGAACGGCATCAAAACACCCACTCACACCGACCTGTCGCGCTGAGCAGTTGCCTCGGATCGCTCATGTAACGTATTCGTGCCGCGCGCAGCCGAGACATCATCGAGTCCCAGTTGTCTCCACAGCCATCTGGCCTTCGGCCCAACAATTCCTCCCTCGACCAATTGCTGCACCTCAGGGCTGCCATGCACTGCAACGCTCCACAACACCGCACGCTGGCTGTCTTTGTGGACCACGCCCATGCCTTTGACACAGTAAACCATGACAAAATCGTTTTGGAAATGCAGCGACTGTCGGCAAACAATCACATCGTCGTGGTCTCCATCACGCTCACAACGACCCCCTGCTGCAATGTTTTTGTATTCAGGCAACGCCCCAGCACCGCGTGAAGGCGCGACATCATCGCCGGGGAGAAGGACGCCGCCGCAGTTCCCCAGTAGCAAATTATTGCCTCTGTGTCTTGCTAAACGCAGCCGCGGAAACAATACGGAAATAGAAGACATGCGGGCACACAGACACAAGAAACGCTGGGGCGCGGTACAGAAGCACAGCCAGCAGTGAGAAACCCAACAAACCAAATATAAGCAAAAAACATCAAAAGAGAATATTCCTAAAGTCTCCCCACAAATGAATTTCTGCGGGTGCGTGTTCTACGGCTATGTTTATATAATTCACTACACACAAAAACAGCATACGCTTCAGCGCACAATATCACGTCCTACTTTACGGTACAACAGAAAATCGAGCGCAACAAGGGCGACAGCTAAATCCCCTCCCACACAGTCGTCAGGAAACGGGAAAGAGTCGAACGAGCACTCGCTCAAAAACAGAAACAAGTCTATACAAACTACGAACAACGACACGGTCGGTGCAAGGGCAACAAGTGGTTTTGTTGCGCGGCAGCCATGGCGTCGCACCCTTCCCTCATCGACCAGGAGCACGCGCCTGCCAATTCCAAGTAGCGCACTTCAGAGAACGGCGTGATCAATCAATACGGCTCGCACTGGATGCACGGTCGAACAGGCTCAGAGCGTCTAAGCGGGTGTCACCAGCCACGGGCCGCGGCGCTGCGGGTGGTCGGTACGATGACGCAACGGTGGTGCCTGGGGCATACGACGATAACGTCACGTCGTGGGGCTTCTGTGTCTCTTCGTCACCATCCTCGTCATCGCGCAGCAGTGCCTCCAGCCCACCACGCCGCGGCTCGCGCAGCCCCTGCCAGTGGCGGTCCTCCGCGTACCACACAACGACGCTGTACACAGTGACCGCAAGCACCACAGTCGTCAGCAGCAGCACAATAGCCACGTACGCCCTCGCACCGCCGTCGCTCGGCGCAAGGTGGTTGGCCGCGCTCACCGCGCACAGCGCCGCAAGGAGCACAAAGTCCGCCGCGTGCATCACCGTCAGAAAGGCCGAGCGCATCATGTTCGTGAAGGCAACCACGCCCGCACCCGCAAGCAGCACAGCAGCCATGCAGAAGTACTGGACGTGGCAGCCTCCCACGGGCGGGTGCACAGCAGCAATCAGGCACACCACACACAGCGCCGACAGCCGAAACACGCACCAGTACACGTGGCTGCCCCTCATGTTCGTCAGCATGCCGCCGTACATCCGCTGCTGCGCCGCGGGGTGCCAATACCCGACGGGGTACAGCAGGCGCTCATGCAGCGGCTTCCTCGAAAACTGCCAGTACCTCGTGAAGCTCGCGCCCGTGTGGCGGGCAATCAGGTAGCACACGCCAGCAGGGAACGCCACACCGTACAGCACGCCAACAACTCCAATCACGCGGTGCTGCACGCGGGCGTCGGGCATCGCCAGTGCAAGCACGGAGCCGAAGAAGATGCCGAGGTGCATCGCGTGCGCCACGACGTACGTCAGGCTCGGGAAGCGCATCGCCGCCCACGCACTCGCCGCGTCCACACCGCGCCACCGCTGGAAGGCCGCCGTCACACCGCAGTGCACGCACCCGAACACAGCGGCGAGCAGCGCGTTGCCCACCACCATCCACACTGGGTCAAGGGCAGCGAACACCGACAGGAAGTACGGCAGCGCAGCGGTGCTCGCACGCTCCTGCGCCGAGGCGCACGACATCCTCGCGAACACGCCGAGCGCCTGCATCTCCAGGACGGAGCCCAGCCCGCCGGTCACCACCACCGCAACAGCCGCCGCACCCGCAACAACGCCGGTGACCGCCGAGAGAGCGCTGGCTGCGGCGGGCAGCGTGTCAAACCTGATCGTGAAGGAACCAAGCAGCACACCCTTGCAGCCGCCAGACACTGCCGCAGCGTCGCAGCGAATGACTATCGTCTCGTCGGCAGCAATGAAGTAACCGCGGTGCACGGGCACAGCCAGCTCCAGAACGGTAGACGGATTCGTCGCGTTGCGCACCCACGTCGCGTTGCTCAGCATCGCTCCCCACGGACCGCCAAACCCACTCGGCTGCGCCGTCGACACAGGCACGAAGCTCAGGTGCGTGCCAATCTGCGGGTCACTTGCCCAAAGAAACGGCGGCGGCAGCGCCACCATCAGCAGTGTCGGGACGGCGCTCCCACCGCCGCGGATGTCGTTCTGCGTCAGACTCCCACCAGCCGCCGTCGTCGTCACAGCAAGCGTCGGGCACGCCACGTCGC